TTGGATCCGCCACTGGTTCAACCAATAATTCGTTGCCGTCAATCATTCACGAAATTTTTCAGAAAATGACCGTTTGACGCCTGACGGAAAAGGGCATTCCTACCCTCGTACTTATGTGTAAAAATATTAGACATGTGAGATGAAAACAAATATTATTAACAACAGCAAATAATTGGTTCACGATTTGGGTCAAGCAAATACAGAAAATTAATGGGTTTGAAATGTTAACAAGTGTTCAAAACCCAATCCCTGACCTCAGACAAATCTGCAATGGATACCTTAAGAATTTTTCGAAATATGTTTATAATAAGAAAACAAAATAAGTAACCGTGAACAACTATAACAATTCATGATTAAATGATTGGTGTTTGATGTTAAACCCTACTTTAAGCACACTTGACTAAAATCATGGTGGCCAGTTTTTTTTTATACGAAGGAAGTTGGAATACCCAAAGTGAACTATCTACCTTTGACAGAGAAACTTTCAAGTGAAACCAAATCAATTACTGGTATAGTTGCTTGCATCAATTTGACCATGCTGAACCGATTAATGTATGGAATTATAGAAAATTTAATTTGAATCTACAGTATTGGTGGATTTTTTAGTTTAGATAGTCAGTTTTGGTTGAGACATGAGTTTTATTAAAGAATATTATTTTTGGAAGAAAAAAATACGTCGAAAGCAATAATGGGACAGGGCAGGCTGGGTAGGTGTGGGCTGCTTTCACGGTAATTCAAGTTACCTTTTATGCATCTTCTTCCACCTCAGAGCTATCAGCTCTTTGATTTGTTGTTGTTGTCTTGTATAATCGTTAATATAAATTATTTGAATAAATCATGTTTAAGATTGTTGAAAAAACTACCGATGAGGTTAAAAAGGTATGACGCTGCATAATAAACGCATTTACACTTTTGATATCTAGCTGAATTTTGTCTCTGAATAACCTTAGATCTGTCACCGAATAACCTTCTGACGTCAAGCAACAATCACTTTTTAATTATGACGTCAAATTTTTTAAATTGTGATGTCAAATTTTACGGGAATTTGTGTGATTTTAAGTAATGGCGGACAAATTTGCATACAACTGTAACTACGTCAATGGGATGGGTCTCGTATACCAAAGACAGGATGATCTGACCTTGACCATATGACAGCTATTTGTGTTTGGGACATAACTCTGTTCTCTGGAGAACTGATGTTAACCAAACTAAGTCAAACTAATTAAGTTAAGTTATGTGTACCAATGCATTTTTTTAAAGTGATGTCAATAAGATAAGGTCATTGTTATTTGACCAAAAAAAGTTGATTGACCTTTAACATTGATGTAATTTGAAAGTTGTTGTACTTGAAATAATCTGCTGGTAAAAAAAACTACAAATTTTAAAAACAGATCTATTTAGAATAAAATATGATATATAAAAAACATAGTCTATCCTTATTACAGTAATTTATACTGTCATTATTTTAAATGCGTTAGGTAAAAACTGATGGAAATACTGGGAATTCAGAAATTTATGTGATCTTTTTATTCATGCGTAAAATGCAACAGGACATTTATAGCAAATATGAAATCTCTTAATTTTAAGTTTTTGTAATTTTTATGTCCCCGCCGTAGAGGAGGGGACATTAGGGTTTACCATTGTCTGTACGTACGTCCAGAAATTGGTTTCCTTTCTCTAACTTTAGTTTTCCTTGACCAAATGTTAAGAAACTTATATACAAAGCTTATTACCACAAAACACAAATCAAGTTTGAATTTGGGTGGCGTCACTTTTACCGTTCCTGAGTTCTGCCCCTTTATAAATGGAAAAAATGCTGCTTTTTGTGTTTCTGTTCCCTGCATGTAACTTTAGTTTGCCTCAATTAAATGTTATGAAACTTATACACAATGCTTATCACCATAAAACACAGATCAAGTTCGAATTTGGGTGGCGTCACATTTACAGTTCTCTAGTTATGTCCCTTTATAATGTTTTATGCAAGCAGGGGCATCATCTGTGTCCCATGGACACATTTTCCATTTATTTGATTTAATTTTGATAAGTGACGAATCACATTTATTAAAACTCATATTTGAGACCGTCATCAAATATTTGCAATATTTAATCATAAATGGATGCATTAAGTTTTGAACTCGCAATAGAATTCTGTCAAATAGACCTATCAGAAACCATGTGTCAACCTAACACAGACATGACAGAAGCAAATGAAAAGATTTTTTGAAATAAATATCTCAAAGCCAAATATCTCAAAAATCATCTCAATACCAAGACTTTATTACTTAATTCCAAAGCAGCAACTAAAATGCATTTACTGGGATATCATGGGTAATTAAGTCACACTAGCAGACAGCTCTGGTTATTAATGTATTAAGCATTTATTCCAGCATCAATGATATCTAACAATTAATTCATTATTAGCGTTAAGCAAATAGATAAAAATGGCCTTTCCAGAGGTCATAATCATTTATACTAAAACGTTATATATTAAATGACATTTATTCATGTATGAATAAAAGAAATTATTTAACATAATTTTATCTCTCAAACTGAGAACTTTTTGTCAAAAATCTAAGTTTTTAATCCGAGACTTAAATAACGAATATCCCATACATGGCTTTACATGGACAAAACTAGAGCATAATATATATATTATACATGTTATTTGTCAAAATAAACAATGTAACTATTTGTATTTGTTTTTATTTCAGCTAGATTCCAATTTTTGGCGTATCCTCGAAATGGCAAGACATACACGTACAATACATGATTCTATCTAGTAGCTGGATTGACTAGTCACCACAATAATTCCATGACAGAAATGAAACTCTAGACCGTTATGATATTATGAAGATATATATATATCTACATATACATATATGACCAAAGTACTTGAATCAATTTCAAAGATTTTTATCAGGTCTCATCATATGTCAACAAATTTCGGTCCTGGTGTCTGACAGGAAATATTACAAAATTACCAGCAGTTACAACACATGTCATGAATATTATTTGTTATTAAGTTTGCCTATCTGTTCAGCTATTTTTAGAGACTGCCTAACGATACTTTCGGAACTATGATATGTCTATGTAACTGTTACTACAAAGAGAGAGATATTATTGCACACAAAGAAGTATACCAAGTTATCAGAATCTATTTGCACCAAGTTATATAAAGATAATTTGAATTCATAATATTGATGCATTGTGAAGAAGAAACATGAAATAATAGTGTTTCCTACAGGAGGTTTTGGCGTGGTATGGCCCCGTGCCGTTTTTCTTGACGTCCTTATATGTTAGTTTGTATACTTGACAATCCAAGAGCAAAGTTAAATTATACCAATGAGAATTACTAATTAAGGAGCAGTACTTCGATTGTGGATTTTTTTAATTTACTGAATACATTTTTTTGTCACTTGTTTTTAATATGGAAGAAATGGAAGAATATAAAAATATTAAAAAAAATATTAGAATTAAATTTGTTGTAAATTTTATAGATTAAACACTTAGAAGTACAATAGTGTATATATTGCACCATTGCTACAACACCAGTATTTTGTGTAATATAATAAACAAGAAAATTACACCACCTCAGATTGTTTCCAGTATGATTAAATCAGTTTTTCTGCAGAATGGAACCAGATGATCCAACTAAAACAGCTAATGTAGCATATGACAACTCTAGTAACAGCTAATGTAGCATATGAAAACTCTAGTACATAGTTGAATGAAAGCATACACCATAATTCTGATAAAAATGTTCCTCCATAAGTTAAATTCATTCCTTTGTATGTACAAGTTGACAGATGTTAACTTCTATAGGTCCCCGTACAGCCTGCAACAATGAGCAAAATTCATACAGCATAGTAAGCTATAAAAGACCCCCAAATGACAAATATAAAACAAGTCTAACAATAAATCTAGCAGCCTGATTTATGTACAAAACAATAAAGAAAAAGAAATATGATAAACAGCAACAAACAACAACCACTGAATTACAGGCTCCTGACAATGGACAGGCACATACAGAATGTGGCGGGTTAAACATGTTTGCTGGTGCTAAACCCTCCCGTAACCTGGGACAGTGTACGTACATCTTCTCAGACATTGAATCTTCAAAAAAAGATACATATTTTAAAGTAATTTAAAAAAAAAAAAGTAAATAACTTTAAAAAAAAAAATGGTTTATTAGCTGAGAAAAGTGTGTAGATAGTGGAAACAGTACAGTACCAACAAGTTTTGATACCTGAGATATAACAAGCTGTGATAAAAAATTAAACCAATTCTTCCATTATATTCATCATAACTTTGCCTTGGGTTTTTAATTAACTGCCTATAGCGCTCACGGTGCTTTGATTTTTAAGAGATCGGTTATGTTTCTGTCGTTATCAAATAGTTAAAGCCATTGCCGGTTCTGTTTTTATACTTTTAAAACTCTAATGATCCCTTTTACTAGATCGATATATAAGTAAGTTAATTTAATGTATCAAAAATGTTGATGGTTATCATTACAGAGAAAATTTGTCTATTTTGTCTTATAAATGTTTATATTCTAAGGTGAAAGAGAGGAGTAAATAAAATACAGAATCACAGTTTCATCAGCTGAAACTACAAACGGTCATTGAACATGAAAAAGCCGCCTCTTCATTCAGTACACCTTATAGAGAGAAACAATTCTTAAGTGAACAATTATATTTTGAAAAGTGACCAGAGAAATATCGTAATTATGACATCACATCCGAACTGAAAACTTACTTCTTATTCTCGAAAAAAAATAATCGAGAGTCAGAATAAAAGATTCACCATACGTCACAAATGTATTTCTAGCATCGTCTTTATTCAAGACGATTTAGGTCTTATAACGTGGACGCTTGTTTGTTTAATTACGTAGGATGATTTTTGGTCGATTTGTAAACGGTATAGTGTCATTGACGTGTTCCCCGTTTAATTTTTCAAATTTACAAAACTCAAATATTTATATCAAAACATTGAGAACTTACCATATATGCTGAATATTACCATAGCGAACCTCTTTAACCAATATGGAAGGGTTTGCCAGTGCGATTCATTGTGTGGTTTACAATAAGATAACACCATCATAATCCATGAAGCAGGCAAAAACATGAGACCGCAGTTCCTCAACATTATCAACAACTCTACATGTACATCTTTGGAAGCTGTAAAATATTCACATTACAATAAGCACTCGGATTCTGCAGTTTACGCGTCGTTGTATTTTTTAATATTTTTTCTGTTTCGGTTTTCTGATACTATTACTAGTATATGATCATGGTTTTCAAGATATTAAACAGGTACTTGCATTTCTCCTTTATTTTCAGATTTTAGTCGCGGGGATCGTGTTGATTGAAAAGAAAGACGGCAGCCTGCGTGATACCTTTATAAGGGTCAATCTAAGCGGGTTTTTTTATTCAGATCATTTTTAGTTTCGAATTAGAAAGTTGACAATGTTTACGGACGACGGACAACAATTGATAAGGGAAGCTGATACTGGTACTTTGAGCAATGTGAATTATAAAACACATTGAAATATGACTGAAAATAATCACTTTCGAGGTTCCAGACACGTGGCGTTTTTTGTATTCAGCTATGCTAGATCTATGTGGTCACTCCGGATTTGGAGAAAATGCAGAATTCCAAGTTGAAGACATAACATGAAACTAATTATGTGTTTTTATGACTTGTAGACACTTTATATACCATCTTAATCATCTGTTGCCATCTTTTGACATGTCATTAGCCCTTATATTAAGAAAAGATGGTCGAACAGCTTCTTTATTTTAGATATACACTTGCATATAGTTCCTTTGTAAATAAAAATTTATAATAAATTACTATATATTAGTTAATGTGAAAAAGTGATATATCAAATTTGATCAGTTGAGAATTGTAAAAGTATTTTATCAGTATCTTAAGCTTGTGTAAGTTATTGAACAAAATTTGGTACAAGATGTGTATTGATATCATAATTTATCGGCGTTTTACGTTTCCGGAAATTGGCATTACTTTTCCGGGAAAAAAGATGACGTTTCCGGGAAAAAAAGTCTACGTTTCCGGAAATAAATACCTTACTTTTCCGGGAAAATAGTAACGATTCCGGAAAAAATGAATTATTACTTTTCCGGGAAAATAATTGAGGAATACCTGTTGAACGAAAGCAAAGTCATAATAAAAATGAATTAAATATTTATTAAGTTAATATAGGTCATCATAACGTGCAAGTAAAATTCATCATTAAAATGAATAAAAACGTATGTTTAAAAGTCAACGCTAATCACATATATCTTGACATGAGTTGATACATCAGTTCTGACAGAATATTTGTAGCCAACACGTCGTACAAAGTCCACAGTAGTACATTCACCGTTTACAAGTTTTGTGTTTTGTTCAACAAGGAAGTCCATCTTCTCCTTTTCATATTTTCGAACGGGTGCTTTTATAGATAAAGTTATCATCTTTATGTATGATGTTGTTTGCAGTTTTAATAGCACACCGACAAAGACAAAAATGTTAGGAAGGCTAGCGTAAAACTGCTCGTTCAAGTGGGCATGTTCTCTTTTCCTCGGGGTCAGGAGGTGATGCCCAAATGGTTGGTGGAAATCTCGAATTGCCATCTATATAAAATTCCAATATGTAATCTGCAAACTTCATACATTTATCGTCAGATGGGGCATCTGCTATTAATTCTACAAAGCATTCTTCAATCTTTAGTTGGCAAGTAAGCCAAACCAAAGAAATGTGTCAGCCATTTTCCAAAATCCGAATATTTGTCCTTGTAATCGGCACTAAGACCTATGGACTGAATTTTACGCCACAAACTTTGTCCTAAATGAAACCTGCAACAACTAATTGCAGCAGCATGAAATGTTTTTTGCAACAGTAGTATGCATTGCACATTCAAAGTCAATATGAACTACCTCGGGCTGGAGAGTTAATCTTCGGGTAGTGCACACATCAATAAGCAGATGTAACATTCCTCGGATTTAAGTGGAGGTAACGCAAATACAAGAGGAATGTAGTTACAATTTTTACACCCATGTATCGAATAAAGTTGGTAGAAGAATTTCGGGCAGGATTTAAATGTGCCATCTATGAAAATATCAGTCATTTCATTACATAGACATTCCAAGTTGATGAACCATGACAATATAACGATTCCCGAATAAGCATCATTCACTAAAGTGAAACTTTCAGTTTTGTTAGTGTTCAAATCTAAATGTCTTAAAGTCTCGTGGACATCGAGTCTACTTTTAGGTAATTTTGAAAACTGCTTTCGCCTTTCTCTGTATAAGGACATAGCAACATTTTTCAAGTCTTGATGACTCAATAGATTTTCTTCCATTTTCTGAAGCTCACCTCTAATCACTTTTGACGGTCGCTGGGAAATGTCACCAGTGTTTTGTCGAACACGGACTCGAAGCTGACGTGTTTCTGCCTTGTATTCATCTTTCTCGTGGTTGTGGGCGTTCTTGGTTTTCACAACAGAAAGACCTTCGGGTCAGTTGTTATAGATGCTGTGCATGCTTTTTGGGAACTACATCTGTAAAAAGAGAAGAAAAAAAAAAGATATCAAATCTGATTTTTACTGCAATTTACAATCAAAAAAGGGGAGCAAGAGTTTCTGTTAACTGTTTTGGATACATTTTTGCATGCCCCCTTTTCCTTCTTCTGTAATGAGAAAACAATGTTGTGGTTAGCTCTCGATATAATGAATTGTCCTCATCCTGTTGTCCCATATCCGTTCTTTTTCATATTAATTTTAAAACACTTAAGTCAAATATTCACATTATTTTATTCAGAAAAATGTTAACATTTGTGTATATGTACATACCTGTAAACTTTATCCCTATTCCTCAAAGTATTTGCCGATCTGTATGAAAATCCGTCGTAGATTATGCATTTCTTTTACTCTCAGGGTTGTTTCTGTATGTACCAGATCCATTTTGACGTGTGATCAAATGTTGAGTTTGTTGATTTCTTATTTATGTCTGCGGATTAGGTGAACACATTTAAAACAAATAATTTTCATTTGGTTTCTCGATGAAGTTTAACTATTCCTTACCAGAGTCAACTGGTTATATCTAGTATATTGTAGATATAAGATCAGAACCTTTTTTGTATAAAAATATAGAATAAATAATTTATCTAACATATATTCAAATATTTATAATTTACTACCAAGTAAATTTCCGGAAAAGTAATAAATACAAATTCTTGAAACGTATACTTTAAGTTTCCGGAAACGTAGTATTAGAGATTTCTAATAAAATGACTTTACTCGACGTTACCGACCTAACTCAACGTATTTCGTCCTATTGCATTGAAGCATGACGGAGGGGAGCATACACTGAATGCACTTTTTGCTTTTTGAACACGCATTTTTTGCTGATATAGACTTAATGTAAAAATCAATCCCAACTCCTTTTTTTAATCTTTAAATATTTTGTTATTAAATTTTGAATTATTTTATTGACAAAAATATTTTAATGGAATACTTAAGCTATCAACTTGTAATCAAATACACCCAACATTTCTTGTCATTTCACTTGACCCATATTTCAGTTCTTCTCAAAATGTGAATTTTAAAAACTATCAAATAAAAATTTAGCATAAAAATATTAAAATAATGAAATCCGAAGCGAGAAGTTTATCTCTTTTTTTGTTTTTATAAGTTTTAACGTTTACAAAGTAGATTCCAACACACCCGAATGTAAAAGGTGTACGCGACTAACTTTAAAAAAAAATTTTTTTATATAATTAAATTCAAGATAATTTGACAGAAATTTATATCATTGATACATTTATCAAATAATACTTTTTAGTCTTCAACTATAATAATGCATGGGACGAGGTTTTTGTCCACGTATAACTAAACGTGCATTCGCAGATACAGGGATAGAGGGCGTACTCCCCCCCCCCTTTCGATCGACAAATAATTTTGAAAATCTGACGTGTTCCACGTTATCTATACAAATGTTTAGTATAAAATCGTCTAATTTGTTTTTCGCGTTGATCCGCTCGGCAGTATAAATTCAATTATCGGGAACTATGCCCTCTTTCAAATATCTTGGATCCGGCCATTATCACAAATTGAATGGCACCAAAAAAAAAAAATTAAATGATTGTCGTTTGACTTTGATAAATACGTTTTAAAAACAACAATGTTTGAACATTGATTTAGAAATCTCACACGAGATTTAAAAGTTTAAGACTACAAACTGAATTGGATTTTTTCCTGGATTTAGAGCTCACTTAACACGGAAATGTGATACTGGCGTGTAATCTAATGGACACATATTCTCGTTTCTGATGTTTCTTTTACTATAAATATTCATTTATAGTATATAATTCCACTAACAAATAATCATGTATCTTTTACTGATAAATTATCATTACATTTTATAGAAACTACATATAATCTGCTATACAGTTATGAACACTAATGGTACTACAGACACTCTCTGCTTTTGACATGACACAAGGTCTTGCTTTTCTAGAGCGTTTGTGTACTTTTTTACTTAATTTGTGATGTACAAAAAGAAGATGTAGTATGATTGCTAATTCGACAACTCTTCACAAGAGACCAAATGACAGAAAAATTAACAACTATAGGCCACCGTCCGACCTTCAACAATGAGCAAAGCCCATACCGAATAGTCAGCTATAAGAGGCCACAAAATGACAAATGTAAAACAACTACAACTATAAAACTAACGGCCTAATTAATGTACAAAAAAATGAACGAAAGCAAAGCAACAAACGAAAACCACTGAATTACAGGCTCCTTATTTGGGACAGTCACATCCATACATAATGTGGCGGGGTTAAACATGTTAACGGGCCCACTTACCTTATACAGTGGTGTAACAGTACGAAATAATTGATTAATATTCTAGACTGGATAATTATTCTGTATTTATTAGTTGTAGTTGTTTTTAAGATAGTGTTCAGTAGCTGTGAATACTCTATAGTAAGATCGGTACATGGAGTTTATTTGGAAATACTAGTAGTTGCTGTTTTTGTGCTTCGTTTTAATCGGACGAGTCAATCCCTTTCTAACTGTTTTAATTGTGAGTAGACATGATCATTTGATAAACATACTTTTATGATCTCTATAAGCTTTAACTTGGACATTTATAAAAACTATGTAGAAAGAGATGCATGCGTAAAATAAGTTCTCGACATACATTTTCTGAAGTATCAGATAAGAATTTAGCCTCAAGCTATGATACTTACAAGCTATAATAAATACGACGAATATTTAGCCTCAAGCTATAATACTTATGATGATGATGATACTGATGTTTGTCTTATATCCAGCGACAAATATTACATATATATTAAGGATGATGAAATGATAATGATAAATGATTATACCTTTTTGTACATGACCAACACTTACAGTCGCATTTTTATATGCTAGGTAAATTAGCGTACCCGATACAAAGACACACTTGTCTTTCTTCGATTAAACCAACACCTGCTCTTACTAGTGAATGCATCATGCTTGGTGGTGAAGCCGAAAAATCCAGTCTTAAAATCATTCGATCAGGGGGTCCAACAAAATAATTGAACCCGTAATCGAGACTAACCTGCTACCAGTCAATCCCATATTTAATAAAAACCTGTTTATATATTTTATGCTTTATATATGTGCATATATTACTATTCTAGCAACACTTGTTTTGTTGCATAATTTGTTTGGGTTTTTTCCTTGTTTTTTTGTATCAAAAAGCTTAGTTTTTATTGTAAAATGGTGTTTCACAGCTTCCATTTTCCTTGTGATTTGCTATTGTATTAATATCCAGTAGCCAGTCTGTCCCGGTTCAACAAATATTTTCAATTTTCTCTTCAAAAGCATTAGTATGCTAAGCATGCATTCTTTTTTCGATTTATTCCTTACACTCCGATATGTATGTACCTGGATCCGTTTGGCGCGTCTAACTATCAAACAGAGTCCAAATGGCGTGAATTACGACTACAGTGGTTCGTGCAGTCTTCAACAATAAGCAAATACTCATACCGTATTATCAGATACTATAGTATATAAGGCATTGACTTTGAAAAATGTAAACAGTTCAAACGAAAATAAACATTTTTACAAGAGTAAAATTAACCCAAAAATGACAGAAAGTAAGCAACGACATCCACTGAATTAAAAGCTCCTGACTTGGGAAAGCCAATATAGAATTTGGCCTGATTAAACGCGTTTACCAGCGCTCAACACTCTGGTGTAACAGCACAATATAAGAAGAAAAAAACCTGTAAAATGCAGTTGGAAACAGCTCAACTAATCAATATTGAATTAAGCCCAAATCAATTACATTTTTGTAATGAAAGACAAAGAGTACCAATCTTAAAGTACCCACTAAGCCTTGGACAGTGGTGCAACAGCACGACATAAGAACAACCTGGAAAAACCTTCCTTCAGAGAGCTTGGTTTACATATGGAATTTTTAGTCCTCAATGCTCTTCAATTTTATACTTGTTTGGCTTTCTAACTATTTTGATCTGAGGGTCACTGATGAGTCTTATGTAGACGAAACGCGCGTCTGGCGTATCAAATTATAAGCCTGGTACCTTTGATAACTATATACATATTTAAAGTAATTATGAATATAAAATGTGTGTTCAGCCGTGTATCACCTTCACTAATGATCCTATGCATGGATATGTCGTAGAGTTTAACTTTTATATATAAATATATACCTCTAAGGCGAGACAAAAATTGAAACTAAATTTTTTTGCTTAACTCAATCAATGTGTGATAGTTTTAGAATCCACTTCTTATTGGATTAATAAGAGTTGTCTTAATCCAAAAACAACTATGACAATATCAAGCCTTACTAATTAAAAGTACATGTTTAAAAGAAAATTACTGTAAAAGACTGAAGTGGCATTATAGTTGTCTTAAAAATGTAACAAGTATATAAATTGGCATTTTCGTCCACTTTTAATCAGAGATACTTGAGGACAGGACATTTTTTAGCCAATTACTATGTACTATAAATTGATAATTTACTATCCACAGCGGTCAATGTTTATATGCAGATTAGTCATCAATTGCTAATCAAGTACACCTTCCAAATTACAATCTATATAACGAATTGGTGTACACATTTATTTACATATATCATTATTATTTGCAAAATTCTTTTTTTTAATGTTGACTTTCATTTGAAAGAAAAGTGTATGTCAACTATTAAAATTTAAAGAAGTTTAAGACCTGTATTAATATTTTTTTAAATATACACATCCCTTTGTCGACCGTTTTCCCTGGGGAAAAAATCGGAGATTGCATGTAAAAAAACAAGATAAACTGCAGAAGAAGAGAACGTTTGAAATGATGCTTAATAAAGTATGATGCAATCCCAATAATCAACTTTAACAGAGACAAGTTCTGACTAACACTTTGAATTCGATATTTCTGAAATTGCTAGAAAAATCTCTGTCTAATAATAAATACCCACGGAAATTAAATATTATTAAACATTAAGAGACGAAAGAAAAAAGGGGCACCAATCTGATAACGAAAAATAAAAGCATGTCAAATATTAAATAATAAAAGGTTCATTTGCAAAGTATATCGAAAAACAAAGTCATGGTCAAAACCATGATAGACGACTCAAATCAATTGTATGATAGGTAAAGATACGTGTATATACGTGGTCTTATGACAGTGAAGTTTTGGCGGGAATCTCAATAATCACGTGATATATAAAAATCATGATTTCTTTCGTTTTTGGTCATCTTAGAAATACTTGATATTGATAAAATTTATGATGAATTGGTTTAATAGTTTAGGAATACTTAGTTAAAACTTGAGTGACGCATTTAACAAAATTAATAGGTTAGCAATAACCGGTCCCGTTACGTGCGTACGTCGAGTTAGGTACGTATGTCATTTTATTGGAAATCTCTTTTGGAACTTGAAAAATTAACGGAAACGCAATACGCCCAAATTGATTTCCACACTTTGTTGAAATGATTTTATTCACATTCTTTTCTTAAGCAAATAAGAGTACTGATACAATTGCTTTTTGTAGTATTTTATATATGAATTGGTATAGATATGTATTTAAATAGTCTCTCATAATCCTTTTAAGAATGGCACATACATATATTTTACTTGTTTTTATATATGTTTACTGTATATTTATATGTATCTTGTTTTAAATGTATGTTGTATGTGGCGAGACTTTAATAAACTATTGAATCTATAATACAGTATGGTAGACAACTGACATTA